CCAGGGAACACACCAACATTGGTTGAATGTCCCTGGGAGATTCAGTTTTTGTAAGGACTCATGGGAGTTCTTAACATTTACAGAGCAGAGCAGTGCCTAGATTGAAATTAGTATGTGCTGTACATTTGGATGTCTTGCAACACAGTCTGAACAGTGCTTGTCTAATCAGCTGAGGCACAAGAGCATAATCCCTTTAGCTAGACTAAACTTTATTTTAAAGCACTCAACGCAGGAGGAATGTTTGAGCTATGTCTTTGATCAGCTAGTTTGTTCCCACTCCATTTTTTTTCTGTGTGATAACTGTGTAATTAAAACTTCACCTTAGCCTCAGTCTATCCAATGGATGCCTCCCAGCCAGTAAAAACAGGCTCCTGAACATGATTAGGAGTCACATCTCATTGAATTGAAATGGAGAGGTTGTGCCTTCTGAATAAATAAATTCACTGTCCATCGTATCACAAGCATTTACAAATTCTGATGAGGCGGTCTGTTTTGGGTGTCTGAAAATAAACCAAATTATCACATATAAATACAATAATGCTTTGAATGTTGTAAAAAAATACCTGAAAGTGCATCGTGGAAATCTCATCAGATTGAGCCACTTGTGGAGATATTAGGATAGTTGACAAAGAAGTTGGTTTTCAGCTGTGTTTTAAACAAGAGGACCATGAGGGATGACAGGATGATGAATATTCACTGTTTTCATGGCCGGAGGGAAGAGGAGAAATGCTATGGAAAACCATATTTTCTTGTTTCATGTTTACATTCTGTTTGTTCCAAACATTGACATGCTTGTTGGATTCAAAATGAGCATAGCTGATCCCATGATTTGAGTCGCCAGAAACTTCTGAACCCCTGCATTAAATCGACATTCCAGAAGAAAAAAGTGACGAGGATTTGGAGATGAGCTACCTACTTGCAGCCAGCAAAAGGACAGTGAAGACAGCAGTAAAAGGAAAAGAGAAAAAGGAGTAAAATTAAACAATACCTTGCTGTTTCATCACTATAAATGGGGAAAGAAAAGCAAAATCAACTTAAATTAAGAGACAACAAGGTGCAGAGCTGGATGAACACAGCGGGCCAAGCAGCATCATAGGAGCAGGAAGGCTGACGTTTCGGGCCTAGTCCCTTCATCAGAAATGATCGTCCCCAATGGACTACAGTCCACATTCAGGCCTTCCCAATTTGGGCCCAACCGTGACAATATCTACATTCATAGCATTGAGATCCTTCAGAAGTGTTTTTCCCTGCGACTCCTGAAACAGCATTTCTGATGAAGGGTCTAGGCCCGAAACGTCAGCCTTCCTGCTCCTATGATGCTGCTTGGCCTGCTGTGTTCATCCAGCTCTGCACCTTGTTGTCTCGGATTCTCCAGCATCTGCTGTTCCTACTATCTCTGATTCAATTTAAATTAACCCCTGTTCCCCTTTGTCAGAGACACTACACGTACTGACGTTAAGCAAAGCATGATTCAGTTTGGTATTTCCTACAATTCAGGCACACACAATGTGTTGTAACAAAAACGTTGTTTGAGCAAGAGAAACATTTGCAAATCAGACAGTACTCCCAAAGCCAGCAGGGTAACAGGTACTTTGGAACACCGTCCATGAAATGCCACTCCAACTCACACACAATTCTGACTGAGAAATTGAAGATTACAAGACATTGACCCACTTTTGCTCCTTTCAGCCCATCAGGTCACCATTCAGTGAAATTGTGGCTCATTTGATAATCCTTCACTCTTGCTGACTAATACGTGGGCATCCCATACTGTTAGTAATATTGATGTCCCTTCACCAGAGTGCATTGAATCAAGAGACAGTGCACTACCACCTCCTACCCGAAAAACTAGTGGGAATGAGCATCAAAATGCTAGTTGTTCCACACAAACAGCTTAAAGAACTGCCGTTTTCTGAGCCTCCAGTGGTTCAGAAAACTTGCAAGTTTTGATCATGCTCTGCCACTTATTTTTACTTTATGTAGCTGCTACTTTTACCATAACTTAGATATCACAAATGTGCTGAGAACATCAAAATATTCTGTGACATTCACTGCATAAATGGCATTGGATGTGTTGGCAGAAGATTATGAAAATACAGCATTTCAACAACGGATAGGTCGTTTGTCAGAAGCAAATCCTTCAACAGAACTGACAACTGAGTCTTTGCTGAGAACAACCAATGCTGAAAACTTCTCAGAAGTCCTTGAAAAGGAACTTTATTTTAAGCAAGTACCTCATATCTCCAGTATTTGCAGGTTGTGTTTCCCCACACCCTAGCCTGCACATACCTGCTTCAGCACAGACAGGCATTGGTTGATCAACGGCCTTGCCTTCACTCAAAGTAGGCTGATTACCATGGAAAATCAGTCACTGTCAGCAGGTTTGGGCTCATTTTAACATGTTTATACAAGTGATCCAAGTGCAGTCGTCTTCTGACAGAGCTGGTGTACTGGACTACATTGCAGTCTGACAAATAACATACTAAGCAAAGTTACAAAGGCTTTCTATGCTCCAAGCTGAGCTGAGTGACTAGACTTGACATTGCAACACAGCTGGTGTTTTCCTGGAAATTGAGACACCTTGGTTTTTGTTACTTCAACCAATACAGTGAATAACCCAAACACAAATTAACTCTGTCAGTCCCGATACATGCACGCAGAAACTCTTCTTTTAAAATCCAAAAAAAAAGCATCAAACAGGAATGTCTTGATGGAATGACAAGTGATGAATCACACCATTAAAAGATGTCAATGAATCCAACCATTCTGCTCAACTTCTCATTTTAGGGAATTGGATTCTTCTCCCTCACAGAATCCCTGCTGAGTACAGCATGATGGATTCTATATTGCACAATATGTTCCTCCATGGAATTAAATTCCCCATTCATGAGGGGCTCCTGTGCTGGCTGGATTTGGATAGATCTGTGATTCACAATCAAAGTATTTCATCTTTTTGCAGACTATCAACAATGACTGACACAAGAAAAATCCGGGGAATTTCTCACCCAGGTGGTCACGCTGGGTTCAAATTTTTGTACCATTTAAATCATAGTTACTGCATAGCGTACAGGACGGCCAAGGACATGATAGAATTCTGCTTGCAGTGCAGTTTACATGAAGTATACTTAATTCTAAAACGAGGGTCTTAAATCTCACAAAAGAAAACTAGGAAATTATGAGGAGCTAATTAGCTCTGTTGCATTTGACAAAACACACTCAAGATTTCAGAGTCAAGAGTCAATGATGAGAATTTAAACAAAAGCAATAAGGTCTACAAGAAATTTACAGTCCAGTGGGGCACAAGTGACTCAAGTAAAGAAAAATGTAAAATCAACCATGGTTCAAGACTTTAAACGTTTGCATTAAATGAAAGGAAATGGCTTATAAAGGGTGCCAGAAAAATTCAAGGATTGGGAAGAATTTGGTCCTCCTTTACTGGGTTTAAGGAAACTGATCAAGATATGCGATCAATTTTCATGACAATTAACATTGGTGAAGTACAACTAGTGGATGCTCTGTGTTTATCATTTTTGAAAGTTGTTTTTGATTAAGTTCCGTACAGGGGATTTGTAAATACATTTTAATGACATATTTTCCATTTGGCATGCAACAATCAATTGGGAATACATAAATGATTTGGAAATGAGACTCCAATGTCATATTCTCAAATTTGTTGATGACACCCAACTGGTTGTAAATTGAAGCTGAGGAGGATATAAGGGAGCTTCAAGAGGACTAGGACAGGCTAAGAGACTGGGCTAGTACATGGCAGATGTAATATAAATGCGAGGTTGTTCATTTTGATCAAAAACACAAATGCAGAATATTTCTTAAAATGGTGAGAGATTTGGAAGTGCAGGAACCCAGTGGGATTTTGGAATTCTTGTTCATGAATCACAACAAGCAAGCATGCAAGTTAAGCAAGCAATAAAGAAGGTTAAAAAAAGTACGTTGTCCTTCATTTAAGTATTTGAGTACAGGAGTAAAGGCAGCTTGCTGCAGTTGTGCAGAGCCTTGGTCAGACCTTACCTTGGACTATTGTATACATTTGTCCCTTTATCCAATGAAGGATAGACTTGGCAGATAGGAAGTACAAAAAGAGAGAGAGGATAAACAAGATGAATCTCTGAAATAGTGGGATTGTCTTCATGGAGAGATTTCAGAGACTGGGTCTGTATTCCTTAAAGTTTCAAAGAATGGGGGGTGCAGACCTCATTGGAGACTGAGGGTGTGCAACAGTGTAGATTTAGATAAAATGCTTCCCATTGTTGGTGAGTCCAAAACTCGAGGGCATAAAATTACTTCCCCATTGGAGATTAAGACTATGGTAAAGAGGAATTTCTTCACTGAGGGTAATGAATCCTCGGAATTCTCTAACCCAAAGGGCTGTGAGAACTCCATTATTGAGCACGTTCTGGATAAATCAATAGATTGCAGTCAACTAAATGATATTAGAAGGATATTAAGATAGTGTGAGGCAATGGCATTGAGGATAGTTGGTCAACCATGACCTAACTGAATGGTGAAGTAGTCTCAGTGTTTAATGCCTACTCCCGCTCCTGTGTTCTATTCTGTCCAATCTTTCAATCCTGGGTTTTGCACCATTAACAATTCAAATGAGAGCCACTCCGTGCTCTTTCTTCAATTTTTTTTTGGTAAACAGCTCATTAACCGTTTGCCTTCTGAAAATTATGATTGAATATGCGTCCATAATCACTGAGGCAGCGCATTCCACATCCTAATCATTCATTGGGAGAAAGAAAGAATTTGTCCTCACGTGGGAGATGGTCTTCCCACAACGGTCAGGTCCAGCTGGGCCATCAAATAATTCAGCAAATCTGTGCCCATTGCACGGGTGGCAGGCAGCTCAAAATGTTGAAAAGTTTGTATTGTGATTGTGTAATGTGCAGAATTTGTCGCAGCGAAGAAAGTTCAAACAAGTTGTTTTCTTGAAATATCTTCGTGTTCTAACAAAATTTCACCGTTGTCTTCTCACTCAGCAGGGACAGGTAAAGGAGATAGCCAGCCTGAATCCATGCCGTTGGGGACCCTGCCACGCTTCCAAGTTGAACCAGAGGATTCATACATCGTGAAGAGCAACCCCATTAAGCTGCGCTGCAAAGCGATGCCTGCCATGCAGATCTTCTTCAAGTGCAATGGAGACTGGGTCCATCAGAAAGAACACGTGCTTGAGGAACACGTGGATGAGTACACAGGTAATGCAACTTTCTGTGTGTCTCCTGGTTTTAGCAGAGATCACATTAGACAGCGGATTTTAATGTTTAGGAATATTTCTTCTTCGTCATTTCTCATTCTCTACTAGACTTTTCCGTCTCTGCTTTTTTCATACTACTGTGCTGTCATTTAGCCCTATCTACTGGCGCCAACAGCCAATCAACATGGCATTTGTCTTCATCAAAAAAAACTTTATTTTCCATTCAATGTCTCAAGGATATCTTTGCTCCTGGAACCCTTCTTCACCTTTCCCACCAGTCTTTTATCTTGCCCATTCCTCAGTTCAATGTTTGACACCATACTATCCAGCCCTCTTCCTCTTCCTCTTCCACCGTTGAGCTGAAGTGAATTTTTTTCATTCATGGGATGAGGACAACGCTGACCAGGCAGCACTTATTGCCCATCCCTAATTGCCCAGAGGGCAGTTCAGAGTCAACCGCATTGCTGTGGGTCTGGAGTCACATGTAGGCCAGACCGGGTAAGGACGGCAGTTTCCTTCCCTAAAGGGCGTCAGTGAACCAGATGGGTTTTTCTGACAATCGATAATGGATTCGCGGTCATCGTTAGACTGTTAATTCCAGATATTTATTGAATTCAAATTGCACCATCTGCCATGGTAGGATTTGAACCCAGGTCCCCAGAACATTATCTGGGTCTCTGGATTAACAGTCCAGCGATATTACCACTAGGCCGCTGCCTCCCCCAAATCTCTTTGTTCTGCCCACCATTACCCATTTTGACAACCATTCATTACCATTGACCACTCTACATCAGGAAGAGACCAGCAGCAGCCTCTTCACTGTTTTTTTTCCCCCTCCGACTCAAATCGAACTGAAAGATCCCTCTACTGTTTAGAGCTGAAAAGTTAACAAAGTAAACCTTCCTCAACACTATCCACAACACTCCCAGCATGGGGTTAGATGGAGTAAAGCTGCCACTACATCGTTTCCATCAAACACCCCGAGGAAAGGAACAGTACAGGGTTAGATATAGAGTAAAACTCTCTCTAATCTTAAACAGCAAGTAATTGCCCTTCTATACTGTCCCCAAACATTACAAAGGACAGTGACAGCATGGAACCAGATACAGAGCAAACTGTCTCTTCACTATCCCCACCAAACACCCACTGGGACAGGGACAAAACAGGGCCCTCAGTTGACATTGACCGAGACACTCAGAACCCAAGAAACCTAAAAAAATTTGCATAACACAGTGTGGAGCTGGAGGAACACAGCAGGCCAGGCATCATCAGAGGAGCGGGAAAGCTGACGTTTCGGGTCAGGACCCTTTTTCATTTCTGAAGGGTTCCGACCAGACACGTCAGCTTTCCGGCTCCTCTGATGATGCCTGGCCTGCTGTGTTCCTCCAGCTCCACACTGTGTTATCTCTGACTCCAGCATCGGCAGTTCTTATTATCTCTAAAAAAATTTGCATTCTGCCTCACCAGTCAGCTCATTGTTACATCAGTTTGCAAAGTAATGCAAATTTCTGACAACTGTTTGACACTTGTAAAGATATTCAAAATCTCTAGTCTTTCAGTTGTAGCCCCTTGGAACTACACTACACAGGAACAATAAGTTGCAACTTCACCTGGTCAGGGAAACAATGAAGAGTCACTTACAGTAATTCGGACATACTTCTTAGGCCACACAGTAACTTCAATTTAGTCTGGCTCCATTAAAAATACCCAGACCTGTTACATGATGTGCAATGGTGATTTCTTTTGGCAATGTTCATTTTAGTCCTTTGAATTCGTTCCCACATCTAAACTTCATTGCAATTTTACACTTTTGAAACTGGTCTCTCAGCAATTTCCGAGCAGAGGGGCACTACATGGAAGAGCATGTCATAAATCCAGCCTAGAGCGTTTGAACCATTCTATGGAAAGCTTTCTTTTAAAAGACAGTTCCTCAGTTATGAAGGTTTCCTGCAAAATCTGCAAAGGAATCACATCATTACAAAAAAAGTATACCAATAAATGTAAAAGTTTCACTTCACTTGATTAAGGGATGGGTGGGAGGAGTATTGACAGCAAAGTTCTTCAAATTATTATAGTATGAATATCTGATCAGCACAGTTATGAATACATCCAATGGATTTGCAGCAGTACTTGATGGGCTGGCCTCCTCCTGTGCTTAGAGCTCAGGAAACTGCAGTGCAGAGGAAATCAACTTAAGTTGATGCTGACAGGAGAGCTTAGAGCATTATGAAGCAATGTGATGTGCTGAGTGTCAAAAATCTCATTAAAGGGGAACTGGAGGGACGTAAGACTTTTTTTTTATAAATCATGTTTATACTGTGATTGTATGGTGATTGTCACTGGGCTGGATGTGTAATCTGAAGGCATGCTGAGAACTTAGACAACAGCTGGGGAAGTGATATTTTCTTAAGTAATGATATTCAAAAAAAAGTAGGAGTGATCAGGAGCGATCCTTCACTGCGGCTAGGAATTAGGCTGTGGGGCCAGCTGGATGGAGATTGATTGGCAAAGTGCAGAGGTGATACTTCTAAAACAATGACCTCATTGAACATTGAACAACAAAAAAATAGATTTTGAGCATGGTTGTAATGGGTGACAATATGAATTGGGAGTCAAGAGTTTTGGATAGTCTTTCTTTTGTGGAGGAGAGAAAATGGGAAGCCAGATGGAGGAGCATGAGCACACAATCAAGTCTGGAGTGAAATGGATTAGCATTTCGAAAGGTAGATGCATAAAGATAGGACGGGGTCAGGTGTTCTTACAAACTTGGAAATAAGTTGTTTTAGACTGAAATGACAAAGGTGAGCTTTCCTTGTGACACCAATGTTTGTGAAGTGTCTAGATGGAGCCAGGGGCTAGGGGCAAAATGACAATGACTTCGACTTGCCAATATTTAGTAGGATAGTAATACCTGCTCATCCACTATTGGATGTCAGCCAGTATAAATGTACCCAAAAAGAAAAACAAACGGGAGCAGTGAAAGAATTAGGAGGTGTTGATAGGTTTAGTAAGTGGGCAAAAAAGTGGCAAATGGAGTATAATGTGGGAAATTGTGAAGCTGTTCATTTTGAAGGGAGAAAAAAAGTTAAAGTTAAATGAAGAAAAACTGCAGAAAGCTGCAACAGAAAAGAGGGACTTTAGATTACTTGTGCACAAAACAAATCTAGCGCATTAGTGGAGCTTTTCATCAGGAAGATAAAAGTTTCAAGGGGGCTGGAATATAAGCATCGGGACGTTTTACTGCAAATGGCTAGGTGCTGATGAGACCACATCTGGAGTTCTGAGATCTGTTATAGTCCCTTTATTGAAGGAAAGGTATATTTCCTGAGAAGCAATTCAAAAAAATGTTCACTTAGATGATCTCTGGTACGGAGGAATTATCTTATGAGCAAAGGCTAAACAGCTTAGGATTTGATCCATTCAAGTTTACAAAAATGGGAGGTGATCTCATTGAAACAGAGGATTCTGAAGGGGCTTAACATGACAAATGAGAGGATGTTTCTCCTCATAGGAGTCTAGGAGCAGACGGCAGTCTCAGAATAAAAGGTGTGCCAATTTAAGACTGAGATGAGGAGGAATTTTTTCTGTGAGTGTTGAGTGTCTTTGGAATTCCTTGCCACACAGAGAGCTGTGGTTGCAGAGTCCTTGATCATGTGTAAGGCTGAGATAGACAGATGCTTGATCAGCTGTTGAGTGGGGAGCAAAGTTGACACAAGGAGGTTCAGATCAGCCGTGATCCTTTCTGGATGGGGCAGCACGGTCAAAGGGCTGAATGACCCACTCCTGTTCCTCTTTCTTATTTATATTCTTATTGTTGAATTTGGGTTAGGTGAATTCTCATCAGCTTGAAAAAGGACAACAAGGCTGATTTGTGTACTACTAGAATAGGTGTGTGCACAGTTGGAAGGGGCAATGGCCTAGTGGCCTTTTATCGCTAGACTATTAACCCAGAATCTCAGCTGGACCCGGTTTGAATCCTGCCACGGCGGATGGTGGAATTTGAATTCATTAAGAAAAGAAAGATCTGGAATTAAGAAATCTACTGATGACCATGAAACTATTGTCAATTGTCAGGAAAAACCTATATGGGTTACTGGTGATCTTCAACAAGGAAATCTGCCATCCTTACCTGGTCTGGCCTAGATGCGAACCCAGACCCACAGCGAAGTGGCTGATTGTCAACTGTCCACTGAAGTGGCCTAGCAAGCCACTCAGTTCAAGGGTTGGGCAATAAATGGTGGCTAGCCGGTGATGCCCACATCCCACAAGTGATTAACACAAAAATCTTGCTTTTGCAAACAGGAGAACATTGCAGCAGTCAGAAACAGAACTGGTCACAAGTCCTGGTTTTCTATTACTAAGCTTGGAATTCAAATGCAATACATCACAGCTTATTGGGAAGTAGACAAGATGTGGAAAGCTAATTGTGAGTACATGACAAAAGAATAGGTCAGGTATGTTGCAATGTAACATGACCATGGTGGGGTCAAAGCAGAGAAAGACAACTAAGACGATGACGTGGAAAGGCAGAGGAGCAGGGGGAGGAGGAGATGAGCCAAAGGTGAACAATGAAATAGTGTATCATGTGATACTGTTCTTGCATCCAGTGTTTAATGATGATGATGCAAAGTTGTGTTCATTCATAAAAGGTGAAACGCATTAATAACCGAAGAATGAATTTGATTCTGAACTTACTAGTGCAAGGCAATGATGCACTAGCCTGAAAGAAGGGATCTTTCTTGAGGATCTTTTACATCCAACCAGTGCAAGACTAGTATACAAAGCAGACATATTTTAAGTTGTAAGACTTGACAGAATCTCCAGAGTAATGGTGATAGCTTTTGATGCGAGTTCCAAAATACTTTGCAGAGCTCTGCCAAAAAATGTGCACAGTAACTGCTGATGGGTATTTTGAATCATGGATACCTGGGGAGTGATAAGGCTGGCATTTCAAAGTTGTGTTCAAACCATAAAAGTGTTACATTCGTCTGAAAGTAGAAC